CCCCAAAACCCCAAAACCCCAAAACCCCTTTCCAAACTATTTTTATTGAAATTCAATATTAATGGAAGAATTTTACCAAAGTATGTCTATAGAGTCAATATAGATCAGCATAAGATCTTTGTGATGCCAGACTTGGTGCAACCCACACATCTGACTCGACATGAGGTAGGTTTGGACCTAAAATATTTAGAAAAAGATCAGAAATATGTCAAATACCAACCTCCTGAGAAGACCTAAATAAAACCTTGAACCTTCTAAGTGAGATGTAAGTAGTCTTAATCAGTTTAGAAGGAATTCTTCAGGCATGCTGCAGATTCACAGCCCGGATCCAAAACAGAAAGATCTGAGAGTAGACCTTTTGGTCACATATAGGTGAATGGAGATAGGCTAAAGTCTTCCTTCAAGCTTAAGAACCGTTTGGAATCACATAATTCATCGCTCCTATTTCATATCCATAATAAACAGAAGGCATTACCCATAATAAGCAAGAGGCTTTCCCAGGGTTTAACTGACCTCACTCTTGATGATGACCAACGGTATGTATCCCTATCTGAACCCTAGAGATGAGGAGCTTATTCATATCCATAAGATCAAGGTCGAGAGTAATCTTTCTTTATCATATTTACAGCTTCTAAAAAGATGAGCTTTACCAGGAATAATGAAAAATAGAGAACGGAAAAATACCTCTCAGAGCTCTACTGATAATGGCATGCTCAAGTCTGTCCTACATCCTGAAAAGGTTACCACTACGGGCATGGGGAGAAGAGGACATATACGAAAATCTAAATTCGAACACAAGACGATCAGAGTTGGCCAAGAACCAAGTACGGCTCTATTTTAATTCTCTAGCTTGGTCATTAAAATAAGAGAAAGATACAGTGCAACAATCAAATTTTGATGACAACTAAGGCTCGAGAGAAGCATGAAGAAAACTTCTATTCAAAGAGTGGGTTTTCTTCAAGTCCTTTAATATCAAGAAGCAGAGGGTTTCATAAAATGTATGCTATCTCTCACTATGAATAGAAAGTAGCCAGGTGAATAAGGACATTCATAGTTCTACTCAATACGAGAATTTCAAATTGAATATGTCTCATGACTCTCGTCAAAGCATTTTTACTAAAAACTCCTTGATCGGGAAAGAGCCAATAACCTCTTTTGGCCAGGTCAGTCATTATATTACAAACTATGTCAAGGAGCTATCAGGTATCATTTCTCTAAAACATTGTAGAAAAGCGAGGAATTAAACAGAAGCTTGCTTTAACAAGCTATGGTACTCCTTGACTGATCTTTATAGAGGCTAAAAGGGCTAGTCCTAGATACCGCTTAAAGCAAACATTGAATATTCAGAAGAAGAATGTCACAAGAGATAACTCAAGTGAAGAGATATTCTCAAATAATGGTTGGGCTTATAGTATAAAATACAGCTATCAAAACCTCAATAAATACATTTTATAACACAAGGAAGGCTGTAGCTAATGATCTGACCAAGCTAGATCAACCGATATCCCCCATTAGTCCTCCTCATAAAGATAATACAAGTAAGTCATGAGGATTATCTGCTAGAACAAACCAGATTTGAAGCTAAATAAGCCAATTGTGAATATCCCAATGCAAAAATTGCTTGGAACAAAAGTAAAACTTGGCAAGATAAAGTAGGTATTTCGTATCAAACTTAGGCCTCAAAAGAAGATAGCTGTTTCAAAGAGTACTTCACCACGAAAAGAAGTGCTGAAGCAGTCTGGAAAATCAGCGAAACCTGAAAGAACTGACAATATCTCAGATTATTACCATAAAGCTAATAATAGGTACGAGGAGCAGAAGAGAGAAAGGAAGTCTATACCAAGAGAAGTTGTCAATAATCTTGATAATTCAGAGAATGGACCACATATTGGTAGCTTAATCAAAGCATCCACTGCTTCTGCAGATCCTGAAGAAGTCTCTCTTCCAAACTCAAATTCGCCCAGTGAGGAAGAAGGAAAAGGGAAGAATTTGAAGGTTTCATTTGGAAGACAACTAGTGACTTCCCAGTCTCCGGTCGATATCTCTAAGCCTAAGATTGACCAAAAATCTAAGGGTAAAAAGGTATCATCCCAAGCTCCAGTAAAGATATTGACTAAGATTAAGAACATCAGCTTCCCAAGGAAGTCGAAAGGGCCTTTCATGAATGGAACTATTCAAAAGTAAGTAAGCTTATCCAAGAAGTTAGACTCATTGTTTATGGATATCATAAAGCTCATACCAAAGTTATGGACAACTCTAATCTTAATCTGTAGGTTCAACATAGATTTAGGAGAGATCTTGACAACCAAAAGGAAGAAGCGTAGGATTGGGTAGAAATAGCCAAATTTTCACATGTAGGATTATATTAAATCCTCTCATCACCTCAATCCTTAGGTTGAGTAAAGGGGTTTTGGGGTTTTGGGGTTTTGGGGTTTTGGGGTTTTGGGGTTTTGGGGTTTTGGGG